GCCCTATTATCATTTTCCGACGCAGCAAGCCTCCCTTTGATAGTCACAAGTTCGCGTTCCAAGCGCTCCTTATGCTGGTCATGACGAATCCGGAATGCCTCAGACTCGGCTATGGTTCGAGTAAAGTCTTGCACCTGCACAGCAAGGCGAGCCCGCTCCTTTTCGGTTTCCTCAAGTTCCTTGGTTTTTGCCTCAAGGTCTCGTCGTAAACTTGCTTGTCGCTCGCTCGCTTGCGCCACAATTTTCTTTTCAATTGCGGTTTCGGCATCCAAATGTGCGCGTTCAACTTTAGTGAAACGCTCTCGTAGTTTGATAAGCTCGTTCTGCAACTCTTTGCGGGACGTCTCAGCTGCTGCTCGCGCTTCCGTGGCTCGCCGTAATGTGTCTTGTTGGATATACATTTCTTTCTCAATAGTAATTTTCGACTCGTTGAGATTTCCAAACTCCTGGTGAAGCTGCGCATATTTATGTTCACCGAGCATTTGTACATCGTCTCTTGATTGTCTTTCACGGCTAAGATCGGCTTGAACGGCATACAGCTGTTCCTTGAGATCTTTAACTTGTTGATCAAGCATCTTGCGACTTTGTCCGGCCTCAGCATCTTCGGATATCTTGGCTTCTAGTAGCTTTTTAACATCTGCGACTTCACGTTCCAGGTTCTTCTTCTCCGAAATCATAGCATCGGTTTGCGCTTGGAGTTCACGGAACCGTTGCTGCATGTCACTGTGTCGGCTTGCAAGAGTTTGCTTTTCGGCTTCCAGGGATTTCTTCTCCGACTCAAATTTCTTCACATCTCCACGAAGGATGGAAATCTCCCCTTCCTTTCGTCGGACCAATTCTTCATACCCGGTCGATGTGGAGGATAAATCAGAAATCTGCTGACGAATTGATCTATTTTCTTCTATGAGATCTTTCACTTGCTTTTTTGAAAACTGAAGCTCTTTGATCGTATCTGCTAGCTTGATGTCGAGGTCCTGGTCGGTCTTAAGAAGTTTAGCTTCGAGATCTTGTAATTTCCGTTCCTTCAAGCTGAGGTGGCTATTGAGCATCTTGATTTCATGAGATAATTTGTCAACCTCGCCATCCTGTTTTTTGTGACTATTCTCAATATCTTGTAACTGGTTCTCAAGTTGGGTGATTCGTCCTTGAAGTTCTTGTTTCTCCGACTCCAGGCGACTCATTATCTGGGCAGCCTGCTCGAGTTGCGAACGCCGAAGCTCCAACTCCTCTTCCGTCTTCTTTTTGGACACGATCAACTTATCCATTTGATCCTCCAAGCTCTCTTGATCTGTGATCGCGCCAGCTAGTTTTTCGCTCAGTTCGATCTCCCGAAGTTGGAGTCGCTTGAAAATTTCCTCTTTATCCAGCGCCAGCGCCCGCTCACTCTCGAGAGTCTTCGTTATCCGCTGCACTTCGATGTCTGCCCTCCTCCTCTCGTCTTCCAATTTTTGGCGCTCTGCAATGTCGTTTCGTGCCTTCTCCTCAAGCTTCCTGATTTGCTCGTCGCGCTTTTTTATTTCCCCGGCAGTTCGTGTGGCTCCGAGAAGAGGCTTCATCCGTACAAACAATGTCCACCATGGCGACGATTTTAGATCAAGGTAAACGTGGAAGTTGCGCTGGATGATACGGGTGGCTTCCGTACGGTAGAGCCGTTTGCTTACGATACGTCTTTGCACAAATCCCCTGGCAACAGACTGGAATTTTGTCATGATATCGCGTATGAGAGTATCTCTCTGCTCCTCGAGTTCTGCAAGCACACCAGCCCTGAAGAACATTTTTGTCAGACCAATACGATATATAGCTTTGTCCAGCCCCAGATTCTCAATAATGATTTTCGCCGCGTTTTGCCCGTCAATGTATCCCTTTGGCATTCGCGGACAAAGAACCTCATACCGCTGCCGGAACTCTGTGAATGAAAGGCGGTTGGGAAATCCAGTGCGAGCAATTCGAATACCCTCCAGTACACCATTACAGCGGAGTTGATCTAGTACTAATGGACCATTAAACAGTTTGGGCCTCTTTTTGTGGTTAGGCAAAATACAACGCACGAAATGAGGATGTGTAGAGTGTAGCTGAGCCATGAGACTCGAAAGTTGCTCCTTGTGCCTTTGGGCAACGGTACGGAATAGTCCTTTCTTTACGCGGCTCTTTGATACTCCGTATTCTTCGTCGACATCGGCACAGTCAGCGAAGAGATTGGCGATATGTTTATCATTTGACGAAGATAACAGTCGCGTGACCGTGTCGTTAAGAGGATCCTTGTTTTTCTCTAGCCAGCCCTCAGTAGAGTACTCGACTTCCGCAGCGTAGTGGGTGAGGATAAATCCCTGGGTGAGGCGAGAAGGGTGATATTTTGGGGATTTTCGATCCCACAACGAATGAAGCTTCTCAGTAAAAGATTTATCAGTGGCTTTTGGCATCACGGAATCTTCATCCAAGCAGGAGAATATACCAATTGGATTTGGTAGCTCTATGAGGTCGATGGTGGGCTGAAGATCCTTTCCAAAATCAATGAACTGCCATTCGATCTGCTCTCTGGCGTACTCTTCCTGTTCCAGGACGAACATGTGGTGGTTGAAAAACTGCTGTAACTTTTCGTTGGTATAATTGATACAGAGCTGTTCAAAGCTATTGCTCTCAAAGATCTCGAAGCCGGCAATATCGAGAACCCCAATAAAGTAGCTATCCTCACCTGATGTACCACTGCGGTCAAGTTGGTTGTTAATTCGTATGACCAGATCGGCAAATCCCCGTTCGTAGATACCTTTTGCCAGCGCATCGAGAGCAAGCCGTACTTGTTCAGGGGTCTGAACTTTCTCTACCCACTCCCTCCCAGCCTTTACCCTAGGGTGAAGCAGGCCCTTCACAAAGGGATCAACTGGGATGCCCAAAAGTTGACAAGCGTTTGCAGCACTTTCGTATCCTTCGGGTGTCAGTGTCGCTTGGTCAGCGCGTAGGCTTTCCTTGGTGACGGTGACGTTTCCCAGATGCATAACTGCAGCCACGGTTCGAAGAATTGACAATTGATCGTTATCAGAAAAGTTCATGATATCGAAGGCTTCCATAAGGGCATTCCATTCATCAAGGTCGGAAACGCCTGAAATAGAGTCGTTTCCATCCCGCGTGTACCCGAAATCTTCGATATCAAGGTCATAAAGCCGAAGATGCCGTCTTAGTTCCTTATCTGCGCCACGGAGAAGTTGATAAAATATGTGATAGCTTCGTTCTTGGGAATTGACCTTCACGACACGAGACTTTTCTAAGAGGTAAAAATCGATGGAGGCGCCACAGATTTGGCCGGTTCGTGAAAATTCAATTCGAATGAATTTTCCAAAGCGGGAGGAGTTGTTATTTCTCACGGTTTGAGCATTACCAAACGCCTCAAGGATTGGATTCGCCCTTAATATTTGTTGAGAAAGGTTGGAATATTGTTTGTTGGCGGAGCGGCCTTGTGGGCCATCTGAGGAGGATGCAACGGCTGCAAGGTATTGAATGACCTTCTTCGTGTTTTCCGTCTTGCCAGCTCCAGACTCACCACTGTACGCACGTCAGTTACTCATACCTCGGGAAACAGGCGCCCGAAAAACATACGTGACTAAAATACTCTGGTTCTGCCTCTCTTCAACAAGATTTCGAAATGCTTGATCTGCCATGGCAAAGATATGTGGCCGTGTTTCTTCCCGTGTCCGACCCTTATACAGCTTCACATACTCGTTCGTGTAAATGGGTAATGGGCAGTAGGGGTTGACAGTGACCAGGAAGAGCCCAGAATACGTCTGCACCTTCCCGTTAATATATAATTCACCGATGTATAGACACAGAAACCGCGATATTTCTTACGTATATTAAGTCTGATTTATAGCGCGTATGCAAATTGTGAATGACAGAGCCCTCATTTAAATGGGTTAGCTCAGCCATATCGTCCGCTTTATCGAACTTCGCAGGATTGACTTTATCGACGCTCTCGGCATCGACCTCACGTTGCTAGGAAAAGCCAAATTATTAGCATGCAAACTCCGTACTACAGTAATTCCAACTTAAACCTTTCAACATACACCGCCATCATCGCATTGGACTAATAAACGTCCATTCTGGTCATCCTCCAAGACCATACCCCGAATGAAAGCCTTCTCCGGGTCCCTCAACCAAACATATCTCTTTCCTGAAAAGTCATTATCGCCCTCAATCCCACGGATCTGATCAGCGCCTCTCCGTAGCTCTTCCGATTTTATAAATTGCGGAGCAAATGTATTCGAGGTTGGTAAGTTGCTTCTTGAACTTGAGCGCTGTCTGGCATGTGAGGATACAAATGTCCCCGAGCTCATGGGTGAGAATGACGCATTACGGCTGTGCATATATTGCTCTGTTGGAACCGAGGTGGTGAACGCAACAGACTTAGGCCTAATACTGGCTAGAGATGAGGTTGGAGCTGGTTGCGGCGAGTGCGGGGAAGGAGACGGAGAACCTCGACTGAACGGGTTGATACGCCTAGAAGAAGGGCTCTGTGGAAGGGGAGCCATGTTCGATTTACTTTAGGAGTAGACAGAGCTCATGAGTTCGAGTTAGTTCTCTCTATGGCGCGTGTATATAGCTGCTTGTCAAGGATCCAGGTCGCGAAGTAGCTAAATCGGTTGGAGATATTAGAAGAAACGAATGAAATAAGAGAGAAAACAACGCATCAGAAGCAAAGAATAAAGTAAAGAGCCTTCTCCTTTCATCCCAGAGAAACAATCGTTTCTGGTGGTAAGTCGTAACTGTTGCAATTGTTGTAATATTATTGACTTTTGTTGTTATGGGCTGTTGAGTGACTTCATCCAAGCTGCAGCAGTTGCTGTGTTTGTTTACTTTGTTGCGGCTGCCGGGGTTGCGGTGGCCCGTGCGCTGGGCGCCAAACAAACTTGGAAATGTCAAAGGTCGTTGGTGGGAAGTCACATGACCGGTTTATTCCGTTTAGCAATCCAAAATCCAACCGCCTTCTCCTCTCTTCTCCACTTCCACATCTTCTCCTAACCATCATCGCCAAATTCTTTTCTCTGTACTACGGCTTGCTTTCGACACCAGGCGTACTCATGCTTCGAGTACATCATTTACGGTGCAATACTGTCTAATCGCTACGCATGTTTTCGTGATGTGGCTAGATTTATTTTGATGAACTACCTCTCCAGGTTATCGACCATTTAGCTCTCGCCAAAAGATCCGTTTTCATTCTCCGACTACAAAAATCACCCCCTGTGCGGTGTGTGATGTTACGATTGGAGACTGGTGGTATTTACTGCCGCTTCTCACTCTTCTTGACGCGTAATACACATTCAACATCTTTATTGCGACTTGGGTCGGATTTACTCACATTTACAGAAGGGCTTAAAGGATCTCTTTAATATCAACCAGCCACCCATCCTAAGCCCGCCCGTGATATAATATATCCCATCTCTTTGTATACCAGCGACTACGAACATCTTCTCAATATGTCATCGAATTACCCCCCTACCCCTTCGTTCGGTGGTCACTATAACCCCTCTCAACAATGGCCTCGAGATCCTCCCTCGTCAGCGCTAGGTGAGGGTTCTGATGCCTACCACCCACCACCTCAATCCTACTCGACCAACAACCCTAGCTTTAAGTCAAGCACTCAGATTCCAGGTTTTTCGGGTAATAATAACTTGCCCATACCTTTTGCGCCACCTTTTCCCTTCGTGCCACCTTTTCCTCCTTCCGTGGGCTTTCCCCAGCAGGCCATCGCGTCTCAACCCCAACAAAATGGTTTAGCTGAAAACTTACCTCCAACCCTCACGGGTGCTACAATAAAAGAAAATGATACGGCCGCTACGGCCGAAGGTTCGGACCCAATGGAATCGCCGGAATCCACGAATTTTGGTGACAGAGAGGAAGGTGAGCTAAGCAATGGGGAGATAGGAGCAGAGGAACCAGAGTCATATGGGTACAAAGACCATCAACCGAAAGAGGACATTGCTGGGCCATATCTACAGCCACATCGGCCAAATGAAAAACCGAAGCGGTATAGTGACGTTGGTGCTCAGGGTATTTGCGCTCATCCTGCATTATGGCAACATCCAACTGACCATGGCGCAGGACAACCTTCTTTTTCTCATTCATCCAGCACGCGTCAGCAACCTCCTGAAGGCCCCCGAAATTCGAACAAGCTAGGAAAGCATCAATTTCCCCAGCCAAATAAGACTTCCGCTGGGTTCTCTGGCCAGGATATGAGACCGGCCGATTTAGATACTGGCACATCTGCTGTCCATGGGGAAAGTGCTCAGGATAAATTAGGCTCTCGGGGCCACCACACAGTCCCGATGGAAGACGCGAGAAGCCCTCGCGAATCATTGCCTGTCTCTTCCGTCCAGTCACCCGCTTCCTGTGATAAAATAGACATAACTACTAATGGAAGCCGGACATACCCCTTATATGGCAAGTCCCCAGCGCAACTACGAGTCCAGGCACAGGGGGCATTACTAGGTTTAGCTCCCCACAATATCAAATTTGATGAACTTGTAAACGAAGGCATCGATCCAGTTATTCTCAAACGGCTTTACGATGAGATTGGACTCAAAATTACGTCCACCCGAAACAAACAGCACGCCACCACTAATCAGTCAAAAGAAGAGAAGCCCATGTCAGCTGCAAAGCCGCTGGTCGTTCCCGATTCCGACGCTGAAGCTGCTATGACGCCTGTCTCGCGTTCAGCTCCCGATGCGCTGGTCAAAGGCCCAAACAGTGAAGTTGTTCCAGAGGCACCCAGGATACCGAACCACCAGCCGACACAAGGAATATCAAATACGTTCACTACAGACTCAAGCAGGCCTATGGAGCGCAAGGATATAATTGCCCGAATGCTTGCAAATAAGGCCGCAAAGCCTCCGAGTACTACAGAGTCTTCCAAGTCTGAAGACCCAAAGAAGTCAATACCACTGCAAAAATCGCCCTCAGTCCCTGCTAACGATATTCCTTCCACCGCAAGAATGCCAACCTCACAGTCGCCACCCCAGGTTACCAGCGAGACTCGGGCGAAGGAGAAGAATAAGGCCCAGACGGAGTTGGCTAGGCAACGAATGGAACAATTGAAAAAACAAGGAATTGGAAGAAGCCAAACCCGGTCAGCTGTTGAAGCTCCGGCTGTTGCCCAACGACTTCCGGCCAGTAACAGCCTGACTCTTAGCTCGCAAAATTCCACGTCCCCATCTCAGTCCTCCCAACCTCTACCATCCCTAAGCCATCCGTTGCCTAGCCGCCCACCTGCGCCCGAGCCACCGTCAAACGCTCGCATCCCTGGATTGTTCATGACTAGTTCTGAACCTACTAAAACCCAAGAAGTCTCTATTAATAGTAATAACTCCATCCCATCAGCGGAGCCATCATCGATAAAGATACGAGCTCCCCGAAAACGACCAAGGGCGTCCGACTTCACTGATGAGCCGAGCCCCGCACTCCAGAAAACTCAATTTGCACAAGAAAAGAGTGTCTCAAGCACCCAACATAAGGTGATTATTGACATAAGTGAGGATGAATTCATGTATGGTTCGGATAATGATACTACTGAGCCAAAGGGCCCCGGAGCCGAATCCCCTTTCGTCGGATCGGGTAGGACTTCGACATCGAATCAACTACTAACCCGAGATCTTCCTCCCCTATCCGACTTCCCTTCACGGAACTACTCCCATCGTTCCACTCCGGCAGTATCGACACCACAGCCGCGCAACCGAGGGAAGGGTCCAGACGATCTAAACGCGGAGCTCCAGGCCATGCGCCAGAGAATAGCAGAGTATGAGCAGCGCAAGAAAGCAAAACAATCTGCAAGTCGAGTAGAGTCACCGGGAGCCTTAGCGCACTCGGCTACAACCTCAGCCGACGAGAACAGTTCCGCTGCTCCAGAAGCTCAATGCAAGCCGACGATAGAAACTGAACTCGCTGTGCCACCCTCGAGCCAACCCGAGAATTCACAGGCTCATTCCACCAGTCCGGAGAAGGTAGTGAATTCGGGAATCCAAGCAACCCTAAATTCTGATGGTGCCCTTCGTAGCCAGTCAGTTCTACCGCAGGGCTCGCTTGACCCCACGCATATTGAATCGATACGGAAGAAGTTCATGCGCAAAAGAGAAATAGAATCCGGGCTTCCCGTACTTGATGCTGAATTACAAAGATCCGAAGCGCGGTTGCGGCAGTTTCGTGAGGAAGAACAAAGGTTACTGGCCGAAATCGAGAAGGGAAAAGCCGGAAAACGTCTTCTCATTGAAGAACTAGAATCCCTCGGGATTGAAACCGCTGGGCAATCTATTGAGGAACTCCAAGCCACTAAGGACCGCCTGGAAGAAGCAGATGAGGATGAAGATATGTGTGATGATCAAGGTGAGCTCTACTCCCAAAATGGCGATTACCGTTTCGCACTTCCTCGCAGCCTATCGCGATCGGCCCCCAGTATTGTTCTAGTTGTCAGAGAAACTCACACTTCGGTTTACAATTTTCTAGCCCAACAACCCACCTCAAAGGAAACTACTGCTGAGATTGCATTAAACAATCAAGAATCAGCTCTCAGTGGTGTGGTTCAAGACCGTGGCTCCACATCATCAATCCAACCGTCGGCTAGGGAGCAGATGGCGGCCCCGCGTTTTGAGACCGTCCCAAAGACATCCCAAGAAGCGATAGATATGAGAATGTCTCCCCCCAAGGAAACTAGCGTTCTTTCCCAAGCTGACATTGCAGATGATGGGACGACATGCTCTAGCTCCGCCATGGACGAGTCGATGGGAAGCACACAAGATATGTTGGACCTAGAAGAAGAGACACAAGACCCCGAGGCACTGGAAGAGCGAGCCCCATCTCGATCTGAATCCGTTGCAAAATCAAAAATCACTGATATGGGCGAGCGATCGTCTCAAGCGAGCGTTTCTCCTGAGCCTTTGCACACTGGTTTGGAGAATAAACCAGCTCCTCCCGTGGTTAAACCTGATAACTCTGGAGCTTCAATGAGTTACCAGGGATCTTCATCTGGATCGGATGGATACGAACCTCCCGAACCGGATCCTGCTCCAGAGCAACCCGGTCTCGTTCAAACTTCGCCCTGCCTTGTTTTACCAGATGAAGTAGAGCATGTACCTGCCGACTCATACTCTCTATCCCAAAATGAGAATACACTAACTGTAGATACCCAGGGCGCTGTGACTGACCTCGGTCCGGATTCTCCCAAGGTATGAAGACCTCGCCCCTTCAGATTCCATTGGACAGTTTTAAAGTATTCAATAGGCCAAAGAGGATGCAGAGCGTGCCCATCGCTATTTTACCCCTTACAGGAGTCCGTTAAGGTTATTTAAGGCGTACCGATATCACCCTCGCTTCACTGAAGATGTTAGTGGTGGCTATCGCTCGTTAACTTACAGCCATAACATCGATCCTCATAATTACGTATGTCCATACGAGGCCGCAGGCGGATTTTGTAACGACCATTCGTGCGAATATCAGCACTTTCGACATATGACCTTGAGTGGTGCGTCGACGAAGATGAGCTCAAGAATTTGATTATGTTTCCACATTTTTGCAGCCCTTCCCCACCCTTCACTTCTCTTATCTCGTTCATTCGACTATATATCCCGCAATGTTTCCCGGTCCCCTTTTATCCCTTTGGCAGTGCTCGGAAGCTGACGTAGGACCGATATTAACCCTCATAGATGACAGAATACTTGTTGAAATGAGCTCCCTCAGAGAAGGAAAGACTCCTGAAGAACGGGACGAGTACGTTGCCGGATTAAAACAGACCATCAGCGATATGCGACGCGATAAGGTGAAAGATCTCAACACTATTGCGACGGAAGTTACCGGTTACCGTAGACGGTTTCTACGTGACCCTTCCCGAGTTCTAGCCTTGTAGACTGGTTTACGATCATCTGGTTTTATACATGAACACCATTACAACAACCATACGACTTTATATTCATTTGCAGGCCGATTTTTCTGCCGCTCCTCCTTTATAACAGGTGAGATGGTTGTGCGAGATCCCATAATTTTCGATGGGAGGCAATCAATTTCCCAGAGACAAAAAAATGATGGGTGGATATGAAATCCCAGACATATATTCCCTACCTATACCCTTGGATTACTAGCTGTTTCGCACAGCACTTTTCTCTATTCCTTTCTCCAACGAAATATTTCAGCAACCTTGCCAGTACCACATTCTTCTCTCTCTTATGTTCTTCCTCTCTCTTGAGGGATGACGCTTTTATAGGCATTCCGCATTTCAGCGTGGCTGGCTCGGCTTTTATCTTTGTTACAGCAAAATACTAAGACTTCTAGTCTACAAGGCTTGAAATTTTCTTCTCCTTTCCTTCCCCGTTAAGATCTTGCATCTACAGGTTTTATTCCACTTTATTTACGTCATTGTTTCTGCTGGTTAAGTGAAAAAGGGAGAAAAAAGGAGAAACGGCAGGGGGAAAAGGAAGAAGACAAAATGGCGCGTACCTAGTGGGAGTTCAGAGTTCGCCGAACCCAATCGTAGAAAGCGATGGGTACCAAGGGGGTGAGAAAGGGGCCAGCACGAATGAGCGGGTACCATGGCGGGATACAGTGCTACACACTACCCACAGGTTGCCAATATGGCTTCGATGACAGCACCACCACTACGCCCACGCCCAATATTGGGCGGTTACATATTTGGAGCTGAACGACAGAGGCTGTTGTTCTCCGTTTATTCGGGAACAGGACGCCCTTGGATGAAAATGCCAGCAGCCGCACTAAAAACGACAACATGGAAGGGAGAAGCAAGGACGGTGGGAGGCATGAAATGTTTATAACTATTCAGCAATAGATTCAGATATCCAATCATTTAACAATATGATCATTACATACTCTGTACCTCTTCGATTTATTCCTCAAAAGCGGAGCAAACACAGACCAGTACAGGATTGTATATTTCCTGTAGACGTGAGTTGGTTGTTGGATTGGAATGGTCGCCTCTTTTCCGCGTTTTTAGTTTGGTTATTCTACAACCATCATTCCTAATGTGACATTTTCACTTTCTTAACTTGACGCATATATCCCACGGCTATATAAATGAGAAATTGCCTTTGCCTACAGCATTAATAATGATAAATTAACAAATTCGACGCCAAAAGGGTTGGTGTTTGTATTTATTATTTTTGCTGTCTAGTTTAGCGTAACTACAACTCTGCTGATAAAAATATACTTGGGTGGAATACAAGAGAAGCTATTGCAAGTTGTAACTGTTTTGTGACCAAATCTATACATGAGAAACTATTCAAAGCAATTTTTATTTCTATCTTTCTTTTTAACGCAAGAAAGATATAAAAATAAAGGAAACAATCGATCGATTGTGTCAGGGACACATGAACGGAAAATGAGTTTAAGACTCGATGCACAGCTTTGTCATTAGCGGAGTGACTCACGCCCAAGGCCGCTAAAACATATATCAAGAGTTCAAGAGTGAATGACTGTGATGTAACTCCCTCCCATTAGTCAACTGGTCTGTTTCACGTATGATTGATTTACTGTGGACCCTAGCTTCACTTGCCTTCCGCATTATCAAAATCCCGGAGAATCTCACAGGATCATTGGTCAGTTAGTTCTTGAACCAAGCCGTATTTCCCCATATATTTTTTGGTTATGCAAAGAATGCTGAGTCAAAACTAGACCCCAAGGCGTTTTCCTTGAGGCAGATCTGAGCCGAAGCCCATCAAGTGTCCCGGTATGGAAGGTGGATATAAGTTTGGTGGATGAATGAGAATTTACGCCGGTTTACCTTTTTGTCGTGACGGGGAGGCCGATGGGAAGGTAGTATGACACATCCGGCGCCCGCTTTTTACGAGTTTACCGAGCTCCGGACAGATTGTATAGCTCGGAGACTATATACGGTACAACAAGGGCTTGTTTGGCTGAGCGTTAGAGTAAGGACATGACATTTCCCGGTGGCATCTAGGAGGCTGCGACTCGAGAGACTTCACCGGTGGGGAGCGACCAGTTTGAAAGTGAGGTGTGGACTTTAATCAGGCAAGGGGCGGTTTTCTTTTTGCAGGCGAGCAGACGCCAGATTTTTAATTGCCTGACATGATCGTTCGTGCACAACCTGCCAGGATTTGCGGTGAAAAAATAATAAGAAAAGCCCTCTACTTGCCCGTCGGTTCGTTTCTTTTCTCTTTTTGCACGTGCTGATGGTGCGAAGTTAGGGCTGTGATTGGGATTGGTGGTTAGAATGATATGTGGCGGTGCAAAACCTGAGGCTAACCAGCTCGGAGGCTGGCATGTTTATAGTCTCCCTTTACGAGCCGTATGTAATAATACTGCCTTTGGGCGCACTAAATACATTGCCGTCAGCTTTTCATTTATTGGGGGCTTTGAAGTTCTTCTGATGCTGTGACCGATGTTGCGGCCGGTGTTGTGATTTGGTGAAACTTGCCGTTCGTACTGCTGCGCCTCATCCAGTAACCGTCAACAGGATGTGCATGCCACAGTCCTCCAAGCAGGCTAATGGTTGAAGAGGTAGAATTGGAAGCCAAGCAGTACCTGCTGCCCAATGGGAAAGATATCGGCTCCTTTGATATCGATTGGTTGGGCTAGGTGGTACTGTGCTTGGGCAACCGGTACGGAACAGAGAAACATAAGGTCCGCCAAACAGACCGGATTTCGAGGAGCATGACTGGGGCAATGAATCTTACGCCTGACCAATAACTCGTCATAACCCGCAATGCAGCGGAATTTATTCCCTGTCGTCACTGGAGAGGGTATGATATCAGTGAACAAGGACCTGAGGAATCGCAGTTCTCCGCCATTGGCGAATGAGGGAGATGCGGGGTACTAGGGGCTGTGAGGAACCATCTATCTGTGGAGAGGCATTTCCTTGGTATGGCCTGGGAGTGAGAGACAAGGAAAGATAACAGGGCAAATGGAGTCTTCGTCGGGCACCGGTCTGATCTCCGCGGGAAGGCTTCTAGAAGCCTGATGGAAGGGGGTTCATGGATTTGAATCCCCTGGCTGGCGGGTCACGGCACGTCAGAAAGACGCACAGCTGACCACGATACGGGTCTTCGTCTGCTTTAAATCCTTGGCACTGAATAATTCCACCCAAAGATTGGTTTCTGGGATCGCAAGCTTGATCACACTCCGGATCGATCGAGTGCATTGATCCCTGAAAAAGCCGCTACTCCCGCGCTAGAAGGCCGCTAAAGCCTTCTAGAAAATGTCCCGTGATCATGGCATCAACAATCCCTACATTAAACGTCAGTAGCGTCAAAATATGCGGGGGCGATGGGGCGGGAGATCGCGTTGGTGAGAAGTAAGGCCCTTGTTTCTCGCGCGGCTGATGGGAGGAGTATGATGAGACTTACTATGAGCGGTTTTCTGAGAAGCCTCATTCCGTCGAACTTCTCACCCCTTGTCCCTGATAACTAATCAGAAGGCTAAGCAGAATAAGGCGCGATCGTTAACCATCTTTCGCCAATTACATACGAGCCATTTCTGAATAATTATCAGGCCTGGTGGCTAGTCCACTCTTCCGCCAGGCTAATCTGTGGTCATATTGGAACGGTTCGCGCAGGTGACCTGCGGCCTGCCAGCGGAATTCCCATGTTGTTGTCTTTTTACACTTTTTTCAGCTTTTTTGGCGTTAACATAGCGATCCTTCGTACGGATACCCCAGTGGTTCCCAGGTTCTAACATATGATTCCGGTATAGGCCTTTCTGGAAATCAGGTTCGCTAGCATCAATGATGTTCATCTCTTCGCGTGCGCCATGCAGGGCGACCAGTGGGAAGCAAGCATAAGAAGGTCAGCTTACAAAATCTGTGCCCAACCAGTTACCGGGGCCAGGCCGCTATTCTGCCGTTCCTTGGCCGTTCGCCGTTTGATCGCGGAGCGGAAGAGAGTCGCCAAGACTAAAGCAATCTCAGGGATAGGGCTTGCGTGGTCACGGGGTGCAGCCTGACCCTAATCGAACCAAGCCCGGCGGGGTTTTAAGCCGCATTCCCAAACAGGCTAGCTCTGGGGCCCCGGCATTACAAGCACCGCAACGTCCAAACACTTCGACTTCCTGAGACCAGCAGACTCGAAAACATGCCAACCAAATGAGAAACGCAGGTACTATCTCAGCAGAGAAATGTCTTACAGGTAGCCTTGCTCTTAAAAACGCCAGGTAATTTAAAAATTCATTTGTCTATCAATAAAACACGGCGTTCATGGGAGGAACAGTTGGAGAAAAACAAAATAAAAAGCAAGTGAAACCCGTTAAACTGTCAGCCAATCCACGCAGGTCATTCCTCTTCAAAATCTCAGACATCTGCACACCACCGTAGTCCCGTACCTTTTTCTTTTTCCTTCAGGTGTCATCCCAGGGAAAAGGTACCCGATACCCTTCCGTCCTTCCCACTGGCTGCCACAGCTGAGGCGCACCCGCAGTTAAAAATACGAGCTCTTCAGCCCAAGGGAGGGAAGTGAACATTTTCAGCTCGTCTCAGCGGTAATGTGGTTGCGGGGGTACCGTCTCTCCATTTGCAGAACTCTTTCAGACGGATAGTTCGATTTCTGCTGCTGGTTGCGTATCCTGGGTTCCCATTGGCAAACTGTCCCTGGGTATTTTTATTTGTTCCTTTTGGTTGGTCAACTGGTTCAGGGGTTGTCTGCAGGAGTTGAGGGGAAGCTGATAACCGTAGCATAATCAACCCGGAACGTGAACAGGCAAATAATAAATTGAGCCAATTTATTTTGGTCTCAAGTTAACATCAAAATGATTTTGGGGGAAGTCAGAGGAGAGTTTTGGATATCAGTGCTAGGCAAACAGTGATATCATTGAGGGCTCAGAGGCAGGCAGCGGCTAAGCCAATGGTGTCGTCTGAACGGCCTTGCCCTCCAGGCAGCGAGGAAGAGCTAAACCGCGAACACAAATATATTTCTTCTTTTTTTAGTTTTTTTCTCTCGAAGGGATGATTCTTTTCGAGGCGAGGTTCGGGAGGGAAATCACTTGGACATACCAGAAGGCCCATATTATTGTTTTGGGATGTGGTTTCTTTAGCCGTGGTCTGTTCCCTCACGTTTAACTCTGATGACTAGGCTCAAGGTCCACCGGACATGGATAAGCCGCTAACTTAACGGGGCTAGGCTAGCCTACAAGGCATTCTGGGGCTGACTCCTGCCTAAATATAAAGGCAGAAGAAGACTTGAGTAATTTCTTAACTGCAAAACCGCTTCAATTGATGCCTCCAGAGTGAAAGCTCCGATGCCAATGATCTAAAATACAAAACCCGAAAAATAAAGCTCAAAAGTAATCTCTGAAAAGTCCCGGCCGCAAATGCAACCCTACCCTATGCGGCTAAACAGCGACATTAAAAAAGCAAAATGCAAACATTGAAAGAACAACACTGCAGTTGAATAGAAAAATGAATAACAAACAGCATACAATAAAAGAACAACAAAAACAGAAATCCAGTCATTATACATATCCAAAATACAAAATACAAATCGCATGCTCAAGCGCTAAATATAACAAAAATCGCTGGACATGCCCGCTAAAATGCAAACAAATCGAAAGGTATGTCGGGCCTGCCAACAATAACTTCTGTCAAGCCAAAGCAGTCAGAATTTGAAGTTTCCCAGATTTAGACATGGGATAAAGTACCTTCTGGATTAAAGCCATCTTCGTGATAGAAATAGTTACTTGATATGCGTGCAGTACCCACAAACATCATGGTCGCAATTTACGCAGCGGCCCTGGTTCTGGTATACCTTGGGGCCATCTCCGCATGAGCAGCAGATGTAGAGGTCTGTAGCGCGGTTGATAATCGAGGCTTGCAGGTCTTCTAACATCTCTCTAGTGGCGCCCGGTAGTGGAAGGGAAGGGTTTGTATAGGTATTAAGGTGGCAATCGGTGGAGGGCATGTGGTCCAATGTTCTGAGGTTTCCGGACGAGGAGAGGCTTTCAGTTCGCAGGGTTGAGCCGTCAACGGTGTCGTATGTGCAGCAGGAGCATGGCTGATGGCTACAACTGATGCAAGAAGGGTAGTTTGAGATCATCATCGGTCCGAAATTGCAGTTTCCGCAAATCCAGTGCGTTGCGTATGGCATGGCTATTAATTTGAAGAGGCGGTCGAGTTTGAAATATGAGGATTCGAGAAGATATATTTGTTTGTGGGCTTTCTCGGTGGGTATGTAGGTAGTAAAGAGGAATCATTGAGAATGTTATGAAGAAAAGAAAAGGAAAGGAAATGGAGATGAATTCAGGGGAACGACGGCATATTTAAGCATGGACAAGGCAGCGGGAAAGACATGTCGGAATGACCTGCCATGTATGCCTGAAGAACAAGCTAGTCTTCCAGTCAGGGCTCGTAGCAGAAGGGCAATTCTAGGCCAGTGCATCGCCCCGCCATGTAGGTCACGTTTAGCCCACAATGCCGAGGAGATCAGAAGGAGCCGGCGCCCAAAACATTCCAAGCCATAAATGTCTTAACGCACTGGGCTGTTGTAGATCCTCTAAACCATGTAATTGCAATGACTGATAGGAGTACGCTCTGTGCATAGCGTAATTGAGTCAGTCGGGAGATAGGCAAGGCCCCACCTAGTGGTGGAGTCATCTGATTGGCCCGGGCGGTACGCCAATGTTGGTGGCCTTGGAGGACAGGGTTGCGCCCCAGGGACTTGGTTAAGGCTGACCGGGTGCACGAGTCGAGTCCCAGAAGACATTCCGTGCCATGGCGGAGAGAAATCCCGTTGCCTCAAAATCCCTCAGTTAAGGATTGCCGAAATGGCAATACGTCAGTTTGGAGAAGCCGATTTTCAATCTGAGACCGGAGTCGAATTATTTCAGGCAACATGCATTTGATATGAGTACCTTCTGTTGAAATTTTGACATCGGCGTATTCCAGCCTGCACCAATCTAGGCAGCCTTATCCTGGTGAATCAACTCTTCAGGAGTAACTCTGAAAACCACAGCAGGCTAAAGAAAAACACATTTCGCAAGGAGTTTTGAACAAAACTCAATAATACATACAGCAGAACAGGTTTGAAAATTTCAGAGATTCGCGTGTGCAAATAAAAAGAGAAAATAATCAGCCAAAAACAATTACAAAACGCCTTCGAGGAGGGCGAAACACACTCTACTAGTAATTTCATCGGCAAACAAGAGGTTTGATGAGATTTTCTTTATCATTACCCGTTAAAATTTCAGTAACAGAAAGAATAAAAATCCAAAGTCATGACATGCAAGCTCTCAAAAGAGGAAGACGCAAAAATTGTAAAAAACGAAAAGTGAAAGAGTACACCAAAAATTAATCGATGGGTATCAATATAGTAAAAAAATGAAATAGCATCGAAGTCCAAGGAGTGTGTTTGTTAAGACAGGCGAACAGGGCTACTTTGGCGACTCTTGAACGAGCATTTCACTGCACTCGGACCATCTCGGTGTGGATAGAGCGAAGAATAAGACCCATGTGAAGAGTAGTTTTGGAAACAGGCCCATAGGCAAACCGTGCTAAAGTTTAGGATAACGGACCTTTCATTTCTTCTTCTCGGGCGTCTTGTCGTTGGATTTCCCGGCTTGAGAATCTTTGCACCGGTGTTTTTCAGTCCGCTTTTCAGGATAATGACCTTTTGGGCCTGAAGGCTCATTTAAAATAGTCCGATACCCTTCGTTAGCTCCTCCGGAGCGCTGGGTGTTTCTTGAGGAATTGGCATCGTTGTACAGCTGTTCTTGAATCAAACGAAGATTATCGTGGTTTCTACGGTCTTCGGGAGAAACGTATTGTAATAGGGCGTGCTGGCTAGGACGGCGACCGGTAGGATCTGGTGGATAAACGAGATAGGCTGAAGGACAAGCATACATGCCGCTTTGCAGAATGCCATTTTCGGATTGTTGATATCCGGTTCTTTTATGAGGCTAGATATGTAATATGTTAACTCAAAAGTTGATCTGTTGGGGGGAGTTCGATGCACTTACAGTGGACATTTCAAGCCGTTTGACGCGTGTGAATATCGGAACCTGAATTATTCAAGGAACGCGAAGGAATGTGTATGTGGCAGACAATGGAGATGGAGTAGAAAATGATCATCGATCTCAAGATGCATGGTTCATTTTGCTAATAGAAAACAGCACTATAACGGAGGGGATAAAATATTAATATCATGAAGGCAGCAGAATCCAGGTCTGGAAATTCTTTTTGCCCAACACCACTTCATTGGACAACAAAACCTAAGTATTTCAAAAACCATCGAAGTCAAATTTGGGTAAACCGTGAAAGGAAGGAACTATTGGACCCGGAATTTAGATGTTTCTAATTTCAAGGCTCCGTGGCGCCGAGTAATACACAGCGAAGTCCAAAGCCGGAGGAGTTCACAATCTGACGGTGTCCCAAGACGTTCGAGGATATAGCACAGCCACACGAGGGAGGCATCTGGCTGCGCTCCGGGACGAAAATTGGCAATCAAGCATTGGTTTCATGTGTGGCTAGTGAAAAACCATGCAGAGGAAGGGTGGACTTGCCTCAACCGAAATGAACCAAGTTTGGAGCGAAATGTATTTCAAATGCAAATGCAAAAAAAAAAAAAAAAAAAAAAAAAAAAAAAAAAAAAAAAAAAAAGAGGGGCGAGAAGGTGAGAAACAGCAAGCACCTTCGCAGCGCGCTAAGATTATTCAATCTCGTAGCACTCGGACATGATCATAAGCTGGCGACTGAGCCCGACCCATCACATCATCGCAATCTCGCTAGAAACAATGTTCGTCCATGCAACAAACAACGAGGCAAAGCGGCCAGGGCATTGGAACCGAAAAGAAACGCCGGTGACAAGATGGTTTGTCAAAGGCTTAAATTAATATTTGCACAATTTCGTCAGACGGGGGCAAATTCCCGCCCTATCCTCAGAAAGAGTGGGCAAGAAACCAGAATGGCAACGAGGCTGAAAAGGGCTTGATCCAGCCTTGCAGCCTGGTTCTATAGTCATCAGTCGCTCCAAGCTCAAATAACACTTCGAGTCAATCGTAATGCCTAACTCGGCCCTCCCATCATTATAGCCTAGGAGGCCGTTTCCAAAATGCACTCAGGAGGAGCATGACGCATCATAACACCTTCGTCCCGCGTAGCCCATCAATCGCAAGATAGAAACGTGATTTAGAAACAACAATTTTTGAACATACGCAAGCTTTTTAAGGCCTGTTCCGTAGTTATAAGAAAGCTCAAATTAGGAATAAAATGGAGGAGGGGTTGATTCAGTGATTGCTGGTGGTTGGGTGGTTGGTTGGTGATGTTGCTCTAGATGGTGGGGAAGCAGAACTTGAACACGTGATTTAGACGATCAAATGGGGCTTTTGGAAATTTGCTAGCATTCAGGAAAACAGCTTGAAATAAGTTCAAGAGTTCCACATAAGTGTTAATAGGCTTTGATATATTGCAGAGAGGAAATCTAGTAGAAAAATGGCAAATTATATCCGTGGGTCACTTCCTAGATAGATGTTGTCCAGCTCCCACTCAGTTTTGGCGGTTCCAGCCCAAGTACGGCAGCCTATAGTGACATTTGGGTCAAACAGGTATTTTATACTAGTTACTAGTGTTACAATGAGCACACATCAATAGAATAGTACTGTACTGTTTGTATTATTGGAGGATCCTGTCAAAAGTTTTGATTAGCACTAATAATTTAAAGTTGCATCTTAAATTCTTCCTCTGTACAGAGTAATAGTAATTGAGATCTTCTCATTGATGTTATTGAATGAAATAGAGATTCATATTGAAAGAGTGCTCTAGATCTGAGGGTCTACATACTCTGAGAGTCTGAGATCTCTATCTCTCAGACTCTATGCTCAGAAAGTCTCTATACCTGATATCTGAGAGTCTCTATCTCAGGGGCACTCTATATCTAGGAATCTCTATACTTTAGGACTCTATACCTGGGGGCTCTATACTCAGAGGGGACCGGTCCTGAGAATGATGAGAGATCTGTGGCCCGTGGGGTAGTCTTAGTCTGAAAGTCAAGATAACTAATTGGTGTGTGTGGTGTGTGTGTACGAGTAGAATTATTAATGTGGAATTAAGCTTTTACACTGAAATACATTGACCCATATGTCACTTATAGGCTGCCGTACTACTGGCGCTGGTTACTAAGCTGCCAGTGCTCCGGAAGTTCTATCTTAAGAATTGGGTGGCTTCGAATTATGATTCTCGAACACCACCAACACCACTAACTATTGCTCATTTGCTCTTTAACCATATTTTGGCTGCTTCAACCCTATATGCTACAGCTTTAACTACAGTTTATAGGCCATTCTCTTGACGGAGTTATCCTTTTTAGGCCGCTTCATCTCATGGGCTGTGATCAGAAAGCTGCAAATCTCGCAGTTTCTCGCGTGGTCCCAGTGTTTCTTGGTCTCATCATTATATATACTAGCTGGACGTTTACAAAGTCATTATGTAGTATGTTTTTGCTGTTGTCTTCTCTCCCTTGATCTCCACCAGAGACAAATAGCTAATTCCTAAAAGTCGATTATCTGTTAGACCCCACTACGTCATCACGAAGAAAGGGAACGGCAATTGGATTATTGGTTGCTTTCTATATCCTGCTGATAGTACTTCTTGTGTCATACCTACGATTACTAGTTACCCTTATATGGAATCCTGACTACATACCTCGAGGACCGCAATACATCGAGTCTCAGGTGGAAACGGAGGCAAACAAAAGGATGAGCAAATATCGAGGACGAAGGAGGCCAACTTCAGACAAAAGCAACGGCGATGATGAATGGCATGGCCTTGGGACAATATTTAGAAGACCCGCCGAAAAAAGCTCTTACCCTGTCGATGCTTCTGGACTTGAAGCCTTCTACTTGAAGGACGTATTTGTCTGCAAGGAAGATGGTAGACCAGCGTGGTGCTCTACTTGCTACCAATTTAAATCCGACAGGGCTCATCATTGCCGGGAAGTAGGTCGATGCATAAGAAAAATGGACCATTTCTGCCCTTGGTGAGGAAACCCTCAGCATTTTCAACTTGAAGTCCAATTGATGCTGACTTAGATCCTTAAGGGTCGGTGGAGTGGTCAGCGAGACGTCCTTTAAATTTTTTATCCAGTTCCTTTTTTATACGTTTCTTTTTACAGCATTAATTTTGGTTGTGTTTGCTATATTTGTAGCAGAACACCGCAAAGAGGTATGTTGTTTCGAATATTCTTTTTACATATACTTCTTCCGTGCTGTGATTTTCACAATGAATTATCATCTATGCGCCAATTCCCTTTTCGATAATATGGCGAGTTGTTAGTGAAAATGAGTATGGCTAATGCATAGGTAGACTGGAAAAGTCATTGTCCATTGGGTTGTGGTTCTAGGAATGTGAGTTCACATTTTTCAACTGACAGATAAGGAATGGATTGATTTTTAATTCCTCTCCAGGAGCGCCCTGTTCTGCCTTTTCTCGTTGGGGATGCTGGGAAGTTCCATCCAACTCGCATGCCTAAACTCGTCTACCATCGAAAATCTTGATCGACGCACGAAAGTGTGGACCCTTGCTATTTTGATCCCAACTTCGCTGAAATTTAACAGAGACGGCACAGAATCCCAAGCCGCTCCGCCATTTCCTATAGTTTCGTTCTCTTTGCCGTTTGGAACATGCTCTCCTCTGCAAAACACATCTGACGTAGGTGGTTCCAACCTGCTGCAACGAGACTTCGCTATCCTACATACAAAGCCAGGAGAGAACCCTTGGGACTTGGGCAGCCCGTTGGCAAACCTTAAAGAAGTTATGGGATATTCTTTTCTAGACTGGTTTTCGCCATTGAAAAATTCTCCCTGCACTGACCATAGCAGCCAAGAAAGTGCCTTCCGCCTGGGTCCTGTTGTTCAACGACTCAGGCGTGAAGCTGGTCTAGAAAGCTGCAACAGTGGCGGAGATTTTACTTCTCATGATACAACGCAACGGAATAGAGGTCGAGGAAATAATAGAAAACCCAGCAACAGTTCCAAAATGCCCTATTCACAAAAGCGACGAAAACGCGAGCAAAGATCACGAGATATCCAAAAGCCACCAAACACCCACGGCAGGAACCACAGCCACGAGCCACATCGAAGTGATTCATCTAGAAATAAATGAATCTGCAATCCTTCGTGCCAGCACCACAACAGCATCAGATTCTCAATGCTGATGCTTGCCACTACTATTAATACTTTATTTTAATTTTTTAATACTCTACCTGTAATTTGTCTTTCGGTTCTTTCAGCAACCGTTCCCTATCCTTATGATTCTTCCCTTTCCGGGCAAATTTACATACAAAGTCGCCCTATTGGTCCGGATTTTCTACTAGTCCCGACTAAAACACCACCCCACACGTCACCCTTTTCGACACGGTGTGGAGCCTTCTTCTTATCTCTTCTTTACACAACTCGAGTACACCCCTTCCTTTGAAAATAGATATTTTAGTTCTGCACATGCCTTAACTCTTATATTAATAAAGAACATCCGCCCATTATTATGGCCACTCAGCTACCCAATATGAAGTAGACTAGTCGGTTTTGCGCCGTCCACACAATATTCCGGCGCTTATCGGCCGCCTGGGACCAGTTGAACCAACCAAACGACAGGGTAGGTTTCCTTTCGTTCCACTAATATTGAAATGTGGACGTGCAACGCACGGCTAGAAAGCTTATTTCGACCCCCCTTGCTTGCGGTTTTAACAATAAAAAACAGCAGCCTAAGGACATAATCAGCCGTAAGGAAAATGGATCCCTTGTATGTACCATACATATACCGTACTCATAAGAAGGCTCCCTCAATACACATTTATGGACTCGTCATAGTAACTGTAGGATAGTTGAAGGTTGTATTGATAGATCTATCTACAGGAACATAATATAGTGGTGGGTCACGTGATCTAGTGGGATCGCTAACCGCAACGGCCGTAAGGGCCAACACCCCCCCTCGAGATAACAAGAATCACATACAAAAACACCCAAATCACCAAGATAGTCTGTCAAAACCAAATACAAATGTAAAATTAAACATTCCCAACTTTTATGCCTGTAAGACCTAGCAAAACCATGAATTATGCAAATGTCACATTGTCTAGAGATTTAGTGAGTTCATTCACTGCTATCTGAGTGATGAGAATATATTCTAAATCAATGACTCTCTGATTCAACTGTCAACATGAAAAATGAAAATACATGTCAATGTACTTACTTCAGACTGTAATGACTGTTATCTTTGTGAGATCTATAGCACTCTTATTATCAGTGAAAATCTGTATCAGAGATGTAGTGATGAAGCTGAGCTCAATTATGAGATTTCAGATTCATGTTACTTCATGAACTATCTCACTAAGAGTCATATATTCAGTCTCATTAGAACTTAGAGATACACAAGATTGCTTCACTGAATATTATGAAATCAGGTCATCTGTGAGCTTAAAAACATAGCTGAATGTTAATTTTCTATCATTATTCAAGAGACTGACTCAATCAGAATCTGAGTAGCTGAAGAGTAGGTAGAAATCATCAGAGAAATCAGAGATAACAGAGAGATTAATAGAAACAGTAGAAACAGTAGAAATAGAAGAAATAGAAGAAATGAAAGAAATGAACCTCTCATATGAGCTGTGTCTGTAGAAAATGCTCAGATTCATGATCTCTTTCAAATAATATATAATATGTAATAGAGTCTTTTAATATTGAGATGTTGAATTAACATTCTGTTAAGTGAGTAGCAAGACAGTGTAAGTGATATCAGAACATGTTTTAACTGTGAGATATTACAAACAACTCATATCATGTTAATATCACTGAATTGTGAAATCAGCCTCTTTCTCAGATATAGAGAAATTATTAATATAGAATTCATTCTTCATTAATATTCTGATAACAGCTGTATTATCAAGATAGAAATCTTTAATAAGATATTTAATATATTGATAATATGTTAAATCAATTCTCTTGTCTGAATAATTGATCTTTATACTCAAATACTTAATTAACTGATATAGATTCTTGACTTTCAATTTCTCACTGAGTATACTCACTAGTCAATCAGCATTCTCAGAAGCTTCAGATATGATGTTGAGATTATCAATATAGATTATTATATAGAGATGATATCTGAATATATAATATTAGAGTACTGAATTATGAATACTGACTGTAAATTCAAGATCACTTAACAGAGCTATTAAGTAATTATATCAGATCTTCACTGCAGAGTTCAGACTGTATAGACTACTCTTAATTACACAGACAAGTATTTTCAGCAAACCTGTCTTAAATTCAGTGAATTGTCTTATATAGATCTTCTTAGTGAGATATTCATGAAGATATATTATTACTATATTTACTTAACAGAGTGTTTAACTGTGTAGTACTACTATTGTAAAAAGAATACAATTAGCAGTATCAGTGATGATAGAAGCATAGATCTCTTCTCTAGAATTCTTCTTAAGTCAGTTATTATAAATCACTTAATATGATTTTCTAAGAATATTATCAGAATCAGTATTCAGGTCTGCAGGCCTATCTTTCTCAAGAAACACTCAACAGCTTAAAGCAATTAGTTCATCTCTCAGAATATCAGATCTAGAAATTAAACTTCATATATTATATCTCTTCAGATCAGTAATCTCATGTTGTATGAACTTCTTTTAATAATCTTCTACTCTCTCTGACTGAGATGTGATATCTTTGTAGAACTTTGAGAGGTTATCTGTAACAGAGCTTGAAGTGTAAGTAGTCAGTGATTTCATAAGCTGCAATCATGTGAAATTCAAATCATTAATATCAGAAGCATCTTCATTATTAATCAGATAAATATCAGGTTTCAGTTCACTGATATTATTAATGAGTGTCACAGATGTGATAACTGATTCAATAACATAATTAATGAGTTTTACAGATGTAACAATCAGCTTTTCAGTGATCAGAAACCTCACATCACTACTGATAATAATCTTATCAGATTCAGAATGTTATAGATGATATATTAATATGTCACTGAATTCAATGATATAATAGAAATCAGCATGTGAAGAGAGCTTATTCACAGACTGCTGAGATTCATGCAAGTGAATAAAAACCTCTACACTCAATCAGTGAAAATGCCTTACATTTGACAGAGTATTCATAAGTGCACATTAAAAAATCTTATATGAACTTGAAATCACAGAGATCTCTGCAGTAGAGGGCTAAAATTTCAAGTTGTAAAGAACTGTAGATATAAAAGTATTATTAATTATTGTAATCACTGTCTCTAGAACATCTATTCAGAACTTCTTAGAAAGATTATCTTTCAAAAGAGCAGCTCTAACCTGTCTTATAATAGTACAGATCTCACATTCAAAAACACTATTCTGATGTAATGAATGTAATATCATTGATTCTCATTTAATATCATATGAATTCATAACTGTGTGTATATGTGTGAATCAGAAAACATCATCAATATCAGTTCATAGAAAAGTAGAGACTGTATACCTGAGATTACTCATAAATCTGAGTTATAACTCAAAGTATTGAACAGCCTCATTCTTGAACTTTAAAAAATACACTTAACAGTAGCAGATTGCATCACAGATAATAAGCATTCAGTATTTCATTCTCTGATAAAACTCTAAGAAGTGATCAGAGAGATCTTTCAATATATATTCATCATCTGTAAGATTAATATGAATCTTCTTAATGAGTTGAATAGATCTAAATATCAGTGTTTTCAAATAATCTCACATCATATCAGTCTTGACACATTTCTTATAAAAGAACTTAGTCTTAGAATCTTTAATTGTGACTTCAGTATGAGAATTCTTGATCATAGCAATTATAGCATCAGTGTGAATGTGACTGAGATTATAATATTAATTCAAAAGAGTCTTTGATATCTTTGATGTCTGTGTTTTTATATCTGCAGAATTGATATTATTAATAGTAGTAGTAGCAGTCACAGAAAGATCAACTTTTCAGTTAAAATTATACTTATGTGATATTGCAATATACTTAACTGTCTTGTTCAGATAATTGAAATTCTCATTGAACTTCTGTTTATCAATCTTATATATGTTATTCTGAGCAGTCTGAACTATATGAAAAATAACACTGTTCAGAGCTCTGCAAATGAAAAATGAGAGAATAGTGAAAGACAATGTAAATCAGAATCTCTGATCTTCAAGCTTTACAAATGAGAGCAGATTAACTGTAATATTAGAAATATAGTAAATATTCTATAAGTTAATATTATCATTCTCAATCTTCAAGATAACAGTCTCAATCTTCTTAACAAACTCAGTTTTCTCAGTCACAGAATTGACAGAGATATTATTATTAAAAGATTTAATATTTGAAAAAGAATAAAGCTCACCTGTCATATTCAGACTTGTATATGTGTTTAAATATCAAGATCTAGAGAATGGTTTTTCAGTGACTGTGAAGAAGAAGTAGAACTTAATCTTTATAATTGCTGCATTCACTGCTAATTGAGAACTTATCAAGTTATTCTTCTTCTTTTTCTTCTTATCATTCTTCTTATCATTCTTCTTTTTCTTTTTATCAGAGTGTAAGATGAAATATCTGTCAATAGTATATTCATGTCTTCTGCAGTGAGTACACTTTTATACAGATATGCTTTTATTCTTATCTTTATTCTTATTCTTTTTCACAGTCACAGAATCAGTCTGAGACTGCTTTTTTCACTTGATAATAATCTTCTTAAATGTCTGATTAATCAGTTGCTTCATTAAATTATTAATATCAATGTTAACAATGAGTCTCTGATCAGTGAAGAAAAACTCATTCAAATATATCTTAATAAACAGTCTTTGATAATCCTGCAGATTGTTGAGGAAAAAATTATAATATATATTCTCAGTGCTCTGACAGAGCTTCTTGTGATAGATAATAAAATAGCAGAAATATCTCTGAAAAGTAAGATAATTATTCTTCTTAACTTATAATTTTATTAATTTCTTGAAGATATTAACTCATTCTTCTATTAGTGATATTATATATTCAATATTAATCTTATCTTATAGAGCTGCAGTATTGTCAGCTTTCAAGGTTTTAATAGTGATTCAAATATTTTCAATAAAACTTGATAGTATATATCTATATAGAGACTTGAAATGAATTCTTCACTTCTCAGAGTTAATATAATATGTAAAAGAAAATTCTTGTTGAGTTCTTAATAGAATGTCAGTTTTATTAATAACTTTTATATCAGTTAATATATCAATATATCAGACTTTATAATTAGAGTTATTAAATGTGATCACTGATTTAATATCTAGTATATATTTGACTTTCTTCTAATATTCTTATAACTCATCTCTTATAGTGTCTCTTTATACAGAGACAGATATAGTGAGATATTAAGCAGTTTCAGCTGCAGTTATTTGATTCTGTAGTATCATCTATATAAGATTCATAAGATTGTCTGTAGTGTAATAGATAGATTGATTCAGATCATTATTAAAAGTTAGCATTCTGAAAGTGAGAAATAGTGAAGAATTTGAAGAGTTAAAATGAACAGATTCTGCAGATGAATATTAACTCTACTTTTCTTTATTCTAAAGTTTCTCTGTTATCTCATCATCAAATTTCATACTCTGATGAAAACTGATCTCAGTCTTATCTTGCAAGTCAGAAGCTTTCTCATAATAAGTGATTATTCTATTAATGAGTCATCTAGTGAAGTATATGATTCTGAGTCTTGAGCTGAACTCTGAAGTAACAGATATATCACTTATATTAAGATGACTCTGCTTCTTCTAGATATATAAAAAAAAAAGTAAAAAGTGATATTCTTCACAATGAAGAACATACTTTCTTAAAAATATAAAGTATATGAATTCACTGACTGACAGATTCAGAGAAAATGAAATATCTCTAATAAAGAGTAAGAGTCTTTTCAAAAAAGATGAACTATTCATGTCAAAAATATGTTGATATAACATTCTAAAAAGAAAAACATGCCATTCAGGCTATAACCTGTAGAATAGTTGAAGATTGTATTGATAGATCTATCTACAGGAACATAATATAGTGGTGGGTCACGTGATCTAGTGGGATCGCTAACCGCAACGGCCGTAAGGGCCAACAGTAACTAGCTACGTAAGCTAACTTCAGTCCAACAATTTTAATAGACTTTTACTAATTAAAAATAGCGAAAGATATGTTGAGAGGTGAAGTATGGATAACCAAGTACATTGAACGATTGAGCTAATGTCAAAACTGCCGTTGGGAATGGAAATAAATATTAACGCCCAGGACGCAGCAGCCACCGGGGGGGGGGGGAGGGGGAGAAAGGGAATGAACACGAAATGCTTTAAAACGAGATCACAAGGTAGTGAGTGATAGATGCGAGTAACAACTAAGGCTCGCTCCAGCAATTTATTGTGGTATAAAACAGGGAAGTAACATAAGAGAATTATCTATGGAAACTATTAAGTGCATAGCAGAAACAAGGGAAGCTGATGTTAAAGAACAGATAGAAAGCAAAGCAGAAGCATGGGTAAGGATAATGGTAACGGAGGGATGTGCTTGGAAATGAACGAATGACACGCAGAATGAAATCGGGTAAGGATATAATGGTGGGTAGAAATAAAAGTCAAGGAGAACGAACCTAGTAAAACAGAACCATCGGGAAACCTTAGAAAGCAGACACGAAGGAAAGGATGAAAGACAAATTTATAACCAGGTCGAATGAGGAATCAATACAAAAAACATAGGGATACGGCCTGGTGAAAGTGCCTTGCAAACGGAATGTTTTTTCCAGCGCGACGCTATGCCCGATAACAACCGAAACTCCAGGCGAGAAGCCCATGCGAAGGGAGCAGCAAAACGTAATGGTACATCCTGTAAATGCGCGAGGTATTTCCTCAGATGGATTACTCTTCGACAATGCACCAAGAGCACTTTATATGCCCACACTCACTGCAGGCCTCGGGGGACAAATCGGGGTTGTTCAAATGTTCGTTCCCGGAAACATGGCAATACCACCAACCTCTCATTGGGGGCCGTGCAAACAGTTCGGGGCAGCCCGCTAGGTGCACGTCGCATTTCATAACTGTGAAGTTCGCTCGAGTAACTGCATTGTCAAGAGTAGCGTGGGAAGCCGGGTCACCGGTAGACATAGGGCGTGGGATCAATGTCAGAAATTCGTCGAGAGGCCAACCTAGGCGTGATGTGTTTTGAGCCTCCCGAACTCTAGTAGTACAAACCGGGACGCACCGCGCGTTTCCGCTGTCGGTACAGGATGAGCATTTTGCATGCGAACACACTGGACATTTGCTAGGTGCATTGGCGATAAGGTTGAGTCCATCGCAATTACAGCATGTCCAAGTGTCGTCGTAAACCCGAACCATTTTGAGAGGTAGGAAGGAGAAAGGATATATTTATGGTAGGTGTGATTGAATTGAAGCCTTACACTGGTAAAAGGAAGAAAATTATCAAGATTATCGAAAAAAATATAATCTTGAAAGGGATTGAGAGCGATCTGAGAGAAGTAAAATTGGTTTCAATGATCACATCGAACAACGATACCGGCCGCTTTATATAGACTTCAGGAGAATTAATTACAGTGAAGCAAATAGAAGGAACAGGGCGCGGCCACTATCGTAAAGGCAATTCCAAGGAGCTTTAATGGAAAGGCAAACGAGATGGGGCGGTGACAGATTGCAATGCTACGAACCAGAGGTGATGACTCGGTAAGTGCTTGAGATTATGAGACACAGCAAGCCCAAAGGAGATCATTGAACGGGGATGTTCAATCCCAGCTCTATCAGGCAGAAAGTAGCGAGAGATGGGCGGAACGACTTCATTTGACCGCGGGGAGGTTAGAATCAGACTAACCGCCCAACTTTCGTCATCAGCTCAGGAAAGGAGAATAAAACCTTCCGGAAATAGCCAGAAGACTGCAGGTTGGAGTAAGAAACTTAGTGGCTATTTCTTCCCAAACCCGGAAAATGATTCAACCCCAGATGGCAGGCAGTTCTTGTAAAATGAGCATGTCAAACGACAGTCTCGACAACGACGACTAATGGACCACTGATTTCGAGGCATCTGTAGGAAACTCGGATATGTCCGCAAAACGGGGTATGCTAGCCCTCAGGTAGGTTATATCAATCTGACCGAAAGTTGATTATCCGCAGTCGACAATGCGACCTAGGACAACAATAGTCAGCTTCTGCGCATTGATGTCATTGGCATTTATCACGCCAATAACCTGCACGGGGCAAGCCATGAAGAACATAGCAAAGCGACGGAAGAAGAGACTCTGAATATTCAAATGCACCCCTTGCAGAGGCCATCGCGAAGTAGACAAGCGGGCAGCACTAAGTACAGAGTTCCACCTGATACCCTTCGTCACAAGGGCCTTGGACTTCAGAGGCATCATTTCCGACGCTCCCCATCAGAAATCGCGCCCAATCGTTTGGGTAGCGGACAGTGACGAAGACCAACGGCGGAGAGGACTCGTTCAGATAGTCTTGGCCTCACATGAGGAGACTCAGCAACTATTCTATCAATGAAAGCGAAGCCTCGTTTTGAAAACGGGAGTGCAAAGCCACATCACAGTGAGAAAGAAAGTCACTGGGGCAATCCCCCAGCGAATAGTGAGGCAATATGGGATTCGAAATTCAATGAGCTGTAGGTTCTACAAGACTGTGACTGTCGGGCTTGCGATCCCGCTAGTTAATTATGTGGGCCATGGCCTCTGCTGCCGAAATCGCTTTCGTGGGAATGACGATAGATAGATGGTGAGGCTCTTATGTGGTCGTTACTTTAAGCAGGGCTAGCTAGGTCGCGGTGAACTAGTTACGGCAGTCTATAGTGACAAATGTGTCAAATGGCTTTTTTCATTGTTTTTTCAGTGTAAAGGCTGATGAACCATCACGTCATCGGATTCATCTCCCGTGGTCCCCGCGGGGAGCTTCGGATGAGACGATTTCTCCCGCACCCACCGGGACTTGAGCATCGGATTTCGTTGCCATTGGCAATATCATCGTCAATTTGACCACTGTGCTCTGTGGAAACTGGTTTGTTTACCGGGCAGCACATCCATGCAAATGGTTGAAGACAAGAATTGGTTCGCATTATTAAAATGGTTTGCCTAACGACGTTGCCTGGAACAATTATATGAAAAACCAATTCTTAGTCACGATTGCAGCCCGCCTAATAGCCCCGGGAATAATTACCGCTCGTTAGTTCCTTGCCTTTTTAGGCGTTTTTGCTTTTGCTTTCTCTTTTCTCATTTCTCATTAAAGCTCTGGTATTCCTGGACGATCTAGGAGGATGTATTGGATCTTGAGGCAAAAAGATGCCACAAGATATGAGATCTTCCACGGGGAGCAACAGTTCATGCTAGATTTTGCTACTACTCTAATCGTGCAACAGTCGCTGGATGTTGAAACATGACGCCTCATGGTTGTACATGCTACCAGGAGATTTGGTTATTCTCGAGGCCTCCTGTACTACCCTTCTCAGTGAGAGATCTTAAACTGGAACTTCGAAATATCACGAGATCGAACATAAACCCAATTACTGGACACAATATCCCAGCCAACCAGGGTCTGATTGACGTCGAGTAGCGCAGAAGGAGGGAGTAGCGAAAAGACACGTTTTTGTAGTTGGTGACCAACCGCCACCAGAGGAAAGGTGACAATCTAACCAGTTTCAACCAAATACCAACCACCAGTTGGTCCGTTTCAATCTTGATTCTTGATCCCACGCTCCGAATAATCCTTAGCCTCTCAGCCAACAAATATTTCGTAGATCGTTTTCAAAGACGTACCTAGATTAGCCATCACGGTACCACAAAGCTTGCGCGACCTCACCAAACCTTGGGTCGACATAGTTTGACGTATGGTTGCAGCGGACCGAGCGGTACAGTACCAGGGAATTTGACGGGTGTTCACAATCGCCAATGCTAAGTTATCTAGGCCGGATCCAGTTTCACTCAGGTGAAAGAGTGATGCTTAAATACTACCTTGTTGCCCTGTAGTCGTGTAGGGATAAACGGATTTTCCGAATTGTAGCTCGTAATCTTGGAATTGTTTCGGAGGAAAGAGAGAACAACGAACAACAGCTGCTGGCCGCGGGGAACACAGAACAGGTGACAGACAGGCGTTGCAGAGCCGCACCTCACTAGCCGACCTCCAAGAACAAGATTAACACAACCTCCACCCATCTCCATTTATCAATTTATCATCTCGCCACATATATATAATCCGTACATATCCGGACGCAAAGCACCTTCATCTTCAGCGTCAACCGAGGGATTTACCTACTTTTCTTTCCCGGGAGCTCCATTCTAGTCGCCCTTATAAATATATGCCGCAGTGCCCCTCCATTATTGCATATCACCCCCTCCCCTCATACATTTGTTCATTCAGCAGCATTGTGTATAACTCTGAAACCGTGGCCTTGTAGCCTATTATTATATACTACGTGTCCACATCATCGCCGACCTGGCCAATAAATTTTGTATTGATCCGGTCAACTCATCTGGCAAAACAAGGCATCATCTAGACACTTTATCTTCCCTTAGTTAAACGTCGTCCCTCCATCCTACGAAAACCTCTAATTGGGCACAAATCCATCCAAACATACTTCTCTCTTACCGACTTCACACATATTCCGCTTGCCTTCTATCTGTCGAGTCCGACAGTCACTAAATTTCGGACTGTGGTTTCCACATCGTTGGCCCCCTTCTGAGTGATTTTCCCTTCGAGTACCTTCTACGCATCGCGGTTTCCATTTTCCTAGGAAATTTCTTTTGCTATTCAGAGTGCCTACGATGAGCTTCTGAACTTATTTTTATTTTATTTTTTTATAACTTGGAAAGATCCTCATTGCGTCGTTCAGCTTAGTTGACGTCTACCAAAAGGGGCCTGGGAAATTACAAGGAGGACATCTCATTCCGTTGAAACTTTTGGCTAGAAAACCTTCCAAGATCAACACGAACGTGCCCGCGGTAAAACGGACTTCCTAAATCATGAGCTATTCTCGCCATCGACAACCCTCCCCGGTCCGCAAACCTTTTGTTGATCCCATGAGAGCATCTACTGGGAATATAGTGGTCGGGTCGGACATAGATCCATACAATATCCCTAGGGTTGCCTATGATGGATATTATTCATCCAGTATCGCAGGAGATCGGAACTTAGATTCGCATTATAGAAGCTATTACTACCCCAGGCGATCTCCTCGTCTTAATGAGGACCGTCCTATTGACACTCACCCCATTTCGTCTCAGGCATATCGCTTAACGAATCAGCCAATCACCTCGCGAACCGAATATGCGGTTCGGCCGAGGAGCAATACATCGTCCGTCGCTGATTCTAGTCGTAACCCTCTAGGCGTCACCAAGCCGCCATCAAACCTGTTATTTGCTGGGTACGATGGTAGCCGTCCTCCAAGGCCATCATCATACTATGCAGCAAATGACGCGGGGCGATATCTTGTCCCTGCATCATCCTTGCCTTCAAGACATCGTCGGATATTTAGTTCTGATGATCGAGAAGGTCGATTAACGCTTGACGACAACAAGGAAGCAACGGCTCGTATGGAGAATGCAAGGTATTTAGTTGCCGGGAGGAGCCCGCGAAGAGCATACCCAGTTCCTACCCCAATAAATAAGCCGCAGAGCATCGACATAGGCGATTCCTATTCATATACCAATCCCGCAGAGCAGTTTTATAGGGACTTTGAGGCTACTCAAGACTATCGACGCGATAATTTCGAAAGAAGAAAAGCTAGACCTTTAAGCTTAACCGGCTTGGAACGCTACCTACCTCATATTCCTATAGACTCCAGAGACTCCGGCCCACCCCCTTCTACGAGAGGGTTCGATAAAATTAGCAGAGGAGAAATACCTCGATCACCATCTCAAAACAGAGTAGGTGGTGCAGCATCCCATTCATTTGACATTCCTCGACGGAGGACCAAGGTTCCTGTCTCACTTCACCAGGACAGAGACAAAATCTCAAAAGACCACGAATACGACGACTCGAGAGAACTCCAGAGTTACGAAGGCCGTTACGACGATAGTCCTTCCATCACCGAAGATTTCCACCACCGAAATCACCGTGAAGATATGCGGTACCGACAAGTTCCACGGATAGACACTGAAATTAAAGGCACCGAAGACATACCAGGCTCCAGCGGCCTTGCTACAGTGAGTCTAACCGGTGGTTACTCAAAGGATTTACGCAAAGGGTACGATGATGATCTTGGTACTCGGGCCGATGGGAGAAAGGCCCGGGATCTAACCTGTGGTGGTAGGTCAAGCCACAAGCATGACCAGCCAACCAAAATACAATCTGAAGATGAAACAGATACAGATGAGCAACTCTCAGATAAGGATCAAAGAAGACGCCGATATGCAGCCACTGAACATTCACGAAAGGACCACTCGGAAGGTCCTACGGCAGCTCGCCGCACTTACCGTCTCAATGACTCCGAATATGACAACCTTGATCCAAGGCGACTAGAGGAACCATCCCATCGACCCTCAGAGAGACTTCTTTCAGACGGTTTCATCGTCTCTACCCCCGTCGATATCTCCGATGAGCGTCAAAGGAAACCGTACCATGTGGAATTAACTCGTCCCAAAGAACCTGAACAGCTTCCAAAGGGAATCCTGAAACCCCCAAAGGATAAGTTCCCCGAAGACCGTACAACTGTAAGAGAGGGAGTCGCTCCGTTAAAAGATGCAACGAAAAAGGGTATTCCCAAAGGTGCACGTTGGACCAAAGTAGATCGAAAACTTGTCACTCCGGCCGCTCTGGAGGGAGAACGTTTCGAGGAACGCCCTGATTATATAATTGTTTTAAGGGTCCTTACATTAGAAGAGATTGAGGAGTTTGCTGCAAAGTCAGCAGAAATTAGAGGTTAGTTATTTTTCCGCATCTGGCACATGGCTGCCCATGGCTGCCCGTGATACTTATAATCGCTATAGCAGCTAGATACGAGGCCTACCGCAATGAACGCCGTAGACGTCGAGATGATGGTGAACATAGCGATGAGGAACGCAAGCCTCGCCTTGCCATTGAATCAACCCCTGACTCTAGGCGCCGTTCACCCCCTAATTCCTACTATTCTGAGTCATATAAGTCTCGTGCGCCACGATCATAAGACGTAAAAAATGATCATGATGCATGTATCACTTTATTCGAAACACTCTAATTCATTTCAATGATTTCATATATATTACTTCGATTATATTTTTGGATATCCCCAAAATCAACTTGATGTTTTTCTTCATATTATTTGCTTTCTAAGTGACTGCCCAAATAATATTGCTTCTGGATATAGGAAAAGGACGAACCAAATATGTGGCACTCTTGCTGATATCTTGCATGGAGCTGTTTGAACGATGCCACGGATCAACATGATGGCTGCTCTGATGTCTGATGTTTTGGCTATCATTTCTTTCTTTTCTACTTTATTTATTTATTTATTTATTTTTCTTGGGAAAACTTCGTCCACTTAATGGATTAACAAATGCTATTTTTTCGTGTCTTGGATTAATACTAATCAATTAATCCTTCCTGGGTTACACGTTCGCTTTCTTCATTCTTCCCTCCACAAGATCGTTTGGCGGTCCTTCAAAAACGACATTCAATAGTTTTCTTGGGTTAATTCCAAGTTGATTGAGATACAATTTACTAATTTCCATTCCGCTCTCGCCTGTAATTGTGCATCCACGCTTGAAGTTATCTGGAACATACTTTCAGATGTTTGAGCGTGGTTGTCATGCCACGCCGCGCTTATCGCCCAACAGTCGTTTCGGCAAAATTAAACCCCCGTCATTTTACCAAAATCCCCTTTCAATATATGTGAGCGCATGACCCCTGCCAGCTGAGCTATGTTCGCCGAAGCGGCAGGGCTTGATTGATCTCATTGTAGCGTTATCTACTCCGTACTTATATCTCGGGCGCTATTTTCTAGTGGTCTGTCGGCTATATTGTTTGAGCATAAAACCCTGACCCGGCGACGTGAGACGGGGACCGACTAGAGCGCTGCACTCCTTCGCCTTGACCATAAAATATTTGTGACGACAGTGTCATATATTTCTCTTGAGATGAACAATCTCTCGTTTTGCCCACCCCCACGAACAGAATGTCACCATGATGCGGGGGTTGGTTTGGCGGCCACAAGCGAGATAGTTTTTGTTCGAGAAGGTGGCCAGGGTCGTTGAACAAAAGGTATAATACCCGACTTCCTCCCGCTACTGCAATCGAGGCTCAAAGTATCTTTCCCCAATCTGAATCTAGAGCCCACATCTGTCCCTCTGGGTGAGCGATCCACCCATCTAAGCCTCGAAACTCAGTTTGCAAATGGACGGTAATCTGTTCTTAGCTTTGTTTAGGTGGAAATTTTTATTCTTCCCGGCGACTTCTGCTGTCGCTTGAAACTATCTAACATTTCTATGCGCTGGCTTAGCTGAATATTGATTCTGCCCATTATGACTGACTGATATGTCACATCGGTTCACAAGGGATGTAATTTGGCTAGTTCTTACGAATTACACCATCTTAGAAAGGACCCTAACTTCCATAATCCCTGTTACAATCGTGCGGCCTCCCCGCAGAGGGGATATGCGTGCATGACGAGCTTGGATTGCTTTCCAAACTTCGTTCCCACCAACCCCCACCTATATAATTCCCGTCGGCCGGACTCGCGCCCTGACAAGCCAGTCTTGCCCTAACGAATAAATATCGCTATTGAATACGTGCCGATGAACGATGACCACAGAGCCGAATGTTTGATCGTCCCAATTCTAAAATCACACTACTTAATGCACTGCATAGAGTTAGGGCTAATTTCTCGATAATGTAACGTAACGTAACTTCTACACCTACTTGCCACTAACATGCAACTTCTGGCAATAAGAAGAGTAGGAGTGATTATTCCTCTTCCACTTGCCAGTCCGTCTCGTGGGTGTAAGATCCAGTAAGCTCCTCCCTTGATTTGATAATCTTTCAAATGTGGTTAACTCTCCGTTTTTAGTCCACTATGATCAGCACTGACTTTTTCCGCTGCCCCTTTCCTCGTTGGAGAATAGTTTATGGTGAAGTTAACTCATGCAACTCAGCCAGGCACGTCACTCCAGCGGTTAGAACTGGGTAGGTCCCAATTACGAAGACCAAATGGCGAGAATAGCCATACCAAACCTGTCTTGCGTATGTCGCAAGGACGTTCAATACCTCTTCAGGTACATGTACAAAGTATGGAGGTAGTGGATATAGGAGGTATTCATTTTTTCAGTATTGCTTTTTAGAAGGGAAAATAAAATGAAAGGGCGGGACGGTGTATTCAGTAGATGCAGGATGGATACAGACTATATTGGCACCCATGATTCTCAGGCAGACCACATCAAGACAGGTCAAGATTAAAACTTTTCCCTCAGGACCAAGGTCAATGCTACCCTCTGTACAACGGTCTCATGATTCGATTTCCTTCATAACAAAGATTCAAATGAACATGGCCATTCCTGGGGCGGCTGGGCAAATTATAAGCCGAAAGGTCTGAATTGCGAACAGAAAGCGCAGCACAACAGTTCAAACTCAACGGCTGTATTCAATAATCTGTGCTCCGTATGTGTGCGTAAGAGGGGGGAAAATCAGATGCTGCTTCGGTCGCTAACCTAGCTGAAGAATTAACAAATCACCGAAGGCTTCTATGCGGAGCATTTTTTTGGAAATGTTGCGCTTTCTGAACAATAATAAGGCCTGAGCTTTAAAAAAAGGCTTCTCAATAAGATCGACAACTTGTACAGGCCGGTTCTTGCCCTCGGGAAGATGATCACAGCCATATTTCGCCTCCGACTGCGAGAGATTGGGCCGTAATCATGTCTGCTGAGCAAGGAAATACACGTCGCAGATGAGAGCAACTAACCAATAACGAGTTCCTCTCGCCGTTTCTAGAGAGCGCAATATCTGACGGCACAATTTCCCCAGTAACCAATCGACGACTTCATGTGGGAAGCTGGCTGATATTAATCCATCCCACATCCGCTCACGGCACTTACCTTTCAAGGGGGGACTCGCGATGGCATTCGCTACCCAGCCCTTTTCCATACACACAAACAGCTGCGATCTGATTCTTGGGCAATTTTGGCTTTCCCATGCAATGTGGCTTGTTGCTATGACCTCTCTTTTCCACGTAGCCCGCAAATATTCGCACGAGAATATCGTCGTTCCGCGTCCTTCATGAGTACGTACGCCCACAAGGAACTTCTCAGCTCTCATGCGTACAAGCTCATGGCGCATATGAACGAATCCTCCTTAAAGCCAAGAGGTCATTACATCGAGGCATGAGACAAGTGGTAAGATGTGGCGAGGGTGCCAATGCCTCATGGGGTTTGCAGATTTGAAAATCAAGTGCAGGGTAGCATCAGAATCCCTTGCTGGTCGTTCGTCGTGTAAAAAAGACCTTTTTTAGAGTCCCTGAGCTATACGGGAGGCGCCGTTTTCTTTCTGGCCACTTGCTTCCAAATTGTTAACGCCCGCGCAGGATTCTGGGGGAATGTTTCCTAAAAATGCCACCTTGTCCAAGCTTCCATAACAAGAGAATCAGGCTATTCACTTGTAGTATTGATAACGATTATTATCTGTTATCTTTCATTTTTCAACATTCTGATTTTCGATCGAAACCGCTGCCGCAGATAACCATGTTCTTTGATTCATACGCCTTGCCACTGTTATTGACATGGTGTATATAAAATCCTGACTCCTTTAGCGCCTTTATTGGCCAGCAACTTCACTTTCTCGATGTCTGCTGTATCATAACTAGGTATATCGAAAAAAATATGTGCTGTTGTGACGCTCATTCGCGAGGCAAAGGTCTCAGGCGCATCGGGTTCCTGCGAGGATAGTTTCCTAGAGTTTTGCAGGATGTTGCTTATCAATGCACTGTAACTCATATTTCCACATCATGATAAAGTGGGAAGGCAGCAGTACGTGGTGGGATCAGTTCATGCGTTGATGTTTTTAGCAGGGATGCGTTGAAGTCAACGGTCTTATTATCGCTCACGTGATTCTATAAGCCCTAAAAAGATACGAAAAGTCCTTCGATATCATGGCGTTCTAAATGCCTTCCTATTGGTGTTGATAGTTAACGCTTATCTTGCACCCTTAGATGTGAAAGAGTACAGTCTGCGCATAGATATCCTACGGATGTTGATTGCGGCTCGTAGGCATCATCGCAGGCAACGCTTGCGGTGTCCTTTAACTACTTGAAGATGGGTCGGTCCGTCAACTTGAGCACCTGAGTCAAGTAGAGACTGTCCAAATATTGTCATATATATAAATCTACATGTGTGTATCAAATTTCAGATTTATTTCATAGCTAAATTTGCACCTGGAGTTGGACATGTAACCACCCCGAAACATGTTCTATTTACCGCCTCCAGAGCCTCGCTTTTTGAGTATATATGCGCAACACTATTACATATCATATCACTACCAATGTACCGGAGTAATCCGTTCGATATCGAAGAAGGCGCCCTATTTTTAACTTTTTAACTCCTGCTTTTATCCCTGGAAGATCTATGAGCCAAAACATCCCTGGGTTGTTCAGCCCCATAGCTTCCACTTCCCATACCCTCTTCCACTAGCCAGCTATCCCAGTACTTGGTCAAACTGTACTGCAGCTCTGCTTAAAAAGAGGTTATTCAATTAAGGGATTTCAACTATCGGGAATAGAGGACAACTCAATCAATATTCTACTATGAATAACTCAATGTGAGGTGCAAGGTCAGGAATTTCGGTCCTCGTGTATCTAGTACAGTTCGTCCGTGAATCGAAGGCATATGCATATGCTTGTGCTAAAGCATGAATCCTCGGGGATAAGTCGCGTGGAAGCAAGGGTGGATATAATTTCCCAGCTCATAGTAGCTCAGATAAAAGCCCCTTGAAAAGAAACGAGGGGGAATCCATGTTCAGCCCAGATCAGATACCGTCCTTTGGCATCAACGTGGCTGGACCGAACGCTACTCATGTTGGAAGAACATCTTGGTGACAGTGGCTATCCAGCTTAAGCTCAATGCATACCTCATTGTAAGATACTGGCAGTGTCTTAACGGGTGTTATTTGCATATTTTATTCCTCATAGTTTGAATGGATATGCAGATTATAATGCAGCTGTGCGTAGACCTCGGTAGGGAAAAAGAAAAAGAAAAAAAAGAATGGAGCCACTTATGCAGATAACCGTATGATTTATTCCACAGAGCGACACCAAAGAACAACAAAAGAACAGCAAAAAGCCTTCAATTTCATCATATAGAGGGATGTGGTATTAATTATGATCATTTATATGCCGATCCTTGGAAGCTTACAATCTAATCCGGGGGCTTCAGCTGGCCAAGGGGTGAAGGTCGACACAACGAGACATACGCTGCGTACAGCATGCACAGTAACTACCTCTACTGTAAATGTCTAGGTAGTTAAGCACTAAGTCATCCATATATCACCAGTACACAGGGACTCTGTAAAATTGCACAGCAGGTGTGACAAATATCTATATCTATCCAAACGATGTGGGATGAGATGGGCCCTTGAAATATACACGGCAGAACGCATGACGTCTACGTACTGTATAACTTGTGCCTCAGGTAGGCGACACTTATTCTACATAATGGGATGCGGGGGAGTGAAATGGGGATCAAAAAAATTGGCCGTATGATAGATAGTGTTGCATCTGAATTTTTTGTTCTCATAATCATTATCCAGACATCCCCAACGTGAAGAGGTTGATCGTGCGACGCTAACACAAAGATCACCAGCAGCGGCAATGCGTCGTCTCTCCGCTGGAGGGAGAGCGGAAATATATTCGAAATGCGTAACTGATAAAATGCATGTTGTTTATATATGCAAGTAGGAGAAGAAAGCAATTGGACCATTATGCATGTGAAAATTCTCCACGCTGGGCATTTGAGACAATTCCACGAATGCCGCCATTGGTATGATTCCGTGCGTTGGCTTGCAGAGCTGAATGCAGCACACGAACTAATAATGCTATCAAACAGTGCTTTTTATCCATTATTGCGGTGAGGGGGAAAATATCATTTTAGTAAATGTAAGCTGAGTATTTTGAATGAATACCCAGCTTGGTGGATCAAAGACCATAATATAATTTGCTGGTGCGCCTTAGATAGAGACACCTCGAAGAACGCCTCGAGGAAAATTTGAGAGACACTTTTTCATGCGCGGCAGCGACCCGAGAGAGATCAGAGAAAGGCATCGAGAGAACAGTGGCTCAGGCAAACCAATGTGCACCTCGGCTGGAGATTAAATGCTGCATCTCTTTCGGGCGCCAGGAATGGGAGTAAAACCTTTCATTCTCATATGATATCTTGTTGTTCAAAGGGCCGGGTTGGCTGACGAGCTGCGGATTGGAAAGCTGCGCATACTGAAGGGCCAACAGCTATTTTCCCGTCGCGCCTCGTCAAGTTGTTCTAGCCTCCCACAAGATGCAGGGCGATTCCGCCCTTTTCCGGCGACTAAAGAGCGACGCGACTACTACTGGTATGTTGCAGTAGTGTGCATGCTCTCGTACTCCGTACTTCAAACCTGCCTTGCAAACACTATTGTGATATCAGTTGAAGACAAAATAACCGTCCTCTTTTGTAAAATAAATGGGAAATCGAGAAGGGCGATTCTCATTTTCCCTCCGTCCGTGGCACTATTTTATCTGAGGCTCTTCCTTCAATGCCCAGTCCCAGACAGATGAACGCAAGTAGTAAACGTGCATCTCTCTCTTCTGTCAGATCCAGGAAAACCCGAGTCGGTAGTAGTCGCTTGGAGGATCGAGGTGTAAAGTGGCCCGAGCTAGCGTCGGACAAGGAATCAGCGGGTAGTCAGGGATTTTAGTTAAGTCGTTCCGAACCTTAGGCCAAGACTGCGCAAAAGTGACTTGGCAGCTCTCGTTCGCCAGAAGCCCATCTATCCAATTTGCGTGCGGTCATCTTTTGCCCAACCCATGTAACCTAAGGGATGCACGCTAGAGAAGCCTAGCAGACCAGCCGCTTCTGACTGTCGAATCAGAAGCGCAACAGCGGGGGGGACGATGACGGCTCTCCCATAATTGCTTTTCTAATTGCCTCGAGCTTATTTCCACCCGCCAGCCCTGCGTCCATATTTTCGCCCCATTGCGCCATCCATCCAGCTGCCGTATCGTCCTCCTGCAGCCTGGAGAACATGGTTTCATCCAGCTGCTAGCGCAGCGAAGTTTTGCCCGCTTTTCAAAATGGGACTTGAAGGGTGTAATTAGAGCACCCACTTCCTGAGACTGAGATGGTGTGGAAACGTTTTACATCAAAAAATGGCCCATATATTACCCTCAGATGATTGGAGGTCGTGCATCCATTTGGCGAAGGATTTGCTCGCAAATTGTTCCAATTTTAAATCATGTTTCTCCAAGAATAAGCCCTGTTTGGCAGAAAAGCCATGTTTTGCACAACGTTAGACGGGCGGATGGATTGTTTACTTACCACTCGCTAAAGAATAATAATAATGGAATTAGTGCGTGGCACAAGAGTCCAGCGTATTCAAATCCAGGTATGTACAAGTGAGCATTTCTTGAGGAAAATGAACCTCGGGTTGAGCAATCTGGTGGTGGTACATATCTCGTGCGTACGAAGTAGTGTTATGAATGATGGGGAGAGAATAGGCGGGAGTCTGCGAGTTGGAGTTTCAGTCCTATATGCTGTCTGAACGGTGCAATACGATGTTGGTGCAGTCAGGAAACCCCACAAGGTGGGCAAATGTGGAATCAACATTGTAAATTAATGATATTGAAGAGAAATATATACCTCTGCCTCGGCCTTCTTCTCAGCGGCCTCACTAACGCCCTTCTCTATATTGTGGTAACTATATTTCAGTAACTATATTTCGGCATTGTTTGTAAAAAATTGGAGATCTCATGAACACAGGAAGCTGGAGGTGAAGACACACTGGCTGATAGTTAGTAGCTGCAATTACTTTCAGAATTATTCTCAACAATGCGTCAATGACCTTAACAGTAGTATTCTCAGCCTTTGCCTAGAATCTAGCCAGTAACTAGGTGTTTCATGCGTTTCCAACATCTCTGCATATCAAGAGTTGGAACCCCCGAAGCCAACTCTTAGCCAGTAATGAAGGGAAATATGCGACGGGTGTATAGTCTTGCATCATTTTCATTGTTGCGAGTGTTAAAAAGCATTAATAATTCTTGATGCTCACTTTCTCTCCCGCCGCTCTGTCTATCACATCCATGATCAGCACTAAAAGAATCTTTTGTTATGCGAGTCATGGCCCCTGATCCTTGTTCCTTTTATGTCAGGGAATCGAAACTCAAGCCAACCAAGGCAGATGGAGAAATGATGAGGGTCAGAGTGAAGACGCATGTCTGGTTAATTGTTGGTTTGTATTTTGCTTCGCATCATTACACTCGAAGCTTATTTTTATTTTTTTTGGCGTGCCAGATTCCTCTGACCACTTCCATAAACGTGATTTAACAAAATCCTCGGAATTACTTCTCTTGCACCAATAATGAGGGAGAGCCCGGAGAGCTGGAGGAAAACTCCCCAGCTTGGTTTGGAGGTGGGGTGGCAACCACCCGGATTCAAAGTTCTTCAAGTTTTCCTGCCCATAAGATAAGATATTTCCACAACGTAACTTGACAGGGATCAGCGGGAAAATGGCCGAGACGTTATTGGGTCGGCGGCTGCAAAGAATCAAAAACAAAAGAAGCAAAAACAAAAGAAGCAAAAACAAAAGAAGCAAAAACAAAAGAAGGGGAAAAAAAAAAGAAAAAGAAAAAGACAACGAAGCCAATTTTTTCGTTCATGCCAAGTTTGAGAACTTGGCTGGTGTTGATCGCCATAGTTGGCACCACCGCCGCGGCCTTTCAGTCGAAAAAACTCTCCGATTGGGCGAGGATTTTTTTTTTTTTTCCCTCTGTATCTTGCCACGCTGGAGGATGAGAAG